AGTGCAAGAAGTCTCCCAATTTGACGTCCTTTGTTGATTTAATCAAACATAAGATTATAAATATAGAATATAAATTTGGTATAACACTCGATTTTTACGTGGAAATCCGGAAAGGGAGAAAACCATGGGACTTTCTAGGCTAACGTCCAAGCCCGTTCTTTCTCATTTAATGCTCTCCTCACCATTTTACATATTACATATCTTGAGCTCCATTCATGGAGGTGGGAGACTTCTCTAATCTAGATAAGTAACACAGTGAAGTTGTGGGGGGAGAGAAGAGCCAAAAGATCCCTAAAATAAGAGGCCTTTCTCCCTATTTATAGAAGGGGGAGGGGGAAAACCCTCTAGTCTAACGGGCCGGAAATGCCTTAATGGGCCAAAGCAAGCCCAAGTAGGCCGAGTGGGCCTAAATGGCCCTAAATGAGCCTCGCTGACTGGGCCCCATGCCGGGGTGATGCCTTGGGCCCCTGAACAGTAATGGGTCGGGGTAATATACCCCAACACAAGTCCCCCAATTTTTTGAGTAGTGAGCCTGCGAATCTACTTGAGAAAGTATACTCTTGCTCACATGCTTTCCTGCCTTCCCTGATTAGAGTCCTTGAATAATCTTGGACGCAAGGCATGCATAAGTGATAGGTGAGGTGCAGATCCGCACTAGGAACGACGACGTTGTAGAGCCAGTCGCTCGTGCTGCATAAGACGGCAGTCCCGACCCTGAATGGTATGGGCGGACCCAACCGGGAAGAAGACACGACGGCGCTGAAGAGCCAGCCGCTCATGCTGCATAAAACGGCGATCACCATCCTAGATCAAGGATCGACGAGCCCGACCGAGAGCCAGGCACGACGGCGCTAAGGAGCCGTTCGTGTTGCATAAAAGCGGCGGTCTCCATCCCATATTTAGAGATGGACGAGCCCGGACGAGATCCTGGCACGACGGCGCTGAGGAGCCGTTTGTGCTGCATAAAAGCGGCGGTCGCCATCCCAGAGTAGAGATGGACGAGCCCGACCGAGAGCCAGGCACGACGGCGCTGAGGAGCCATTCGTGCTGCATAAAAACGGCGGTCGCCATCCCAGATTAGAGATGGACGAGCCTAACCATGCATGAAGTAGGCACAACGGCATTGAGAAGCCGTTCGTGTTGCATAATGCGAGTAGGCACGAAGGTTCCGAAGAGCCATTCGTGCCGCATAAGATGATCAAGAGAAGAATGGAACTTTCATTTCCCAGCTCAAATCGAACCAGCCGAGATCCCCTGTCCGGTCTGATTTGGACGGATCACTCTAACTAGCTGGTCAGGGACGACTACCATACCTGACTAGCCGTCGCGACATTTGAGTAGCCCAAACGTGTATGCTACGCACTTGTGAACACGGTTGTAGAACCTCTTATCCTTTGGACGGGGTGTTCCACGAACTCGACTCTGACAGACAAGGACCCGTCGGCCCAGGACCACTACTAAAAGCATCTTCCAAACCCATAGTTCTGATGTTAACCCCTCTGGTTTTCTCCGATCCGGGCCATCCATACTAAAGATTTGAGATGTCCATTTTCAAACTAGAAACAAGATCCCCTGTTCGGGTCTTATCTTGTCTTTAGCTAAAATGCAGACTGACCTCCAAGTTATAGCTCGGATTCCACCACGACGATTTCCTGTCGTCATGGTTCGTCAGAGCTAAAGACTGAGGCGAGGTTTAAAAACCAGAATCCCGAACCCCTGTTTGGTTCACCCGTGTTACCGAGTGCCGCTCGGTTTGTCCTACTCATGGTTTTACACCGTCTCCTAAACTAACTTGAATCTCCCGCTCAGTCATCCGGAGCGCAAGGTCAAGACGTAGTTGAAATGGTGGCTCCCTCCAGACCATGACGAAGGTCCTCATTCGGTCATCCGGAATGATTTCCAACTTTCATGGTCAAGGAGAGGCTTCTGGCCATAGTTGTGATACTTCCGTTCTGGCAATAGTTGCGATGTTACCGTTCTGGCCATAGTTGCGATGTTACCGCTCTGGCCATAGTTGCGATGATCACGTCATGCCAGGGTGGCCGATCGTGGAGCTATAGAAGTAGTCAGATCATCCGAACAATAGGTCTTCCTCCGTGGAGAGTGAAGATGCCTTCAAGGTGATAAACACGTCGTGCCGAGAAGCCGATCATGATATGAGGACAGCGGTGGCAATTGCGGAGGCGGTCCATAAAATGTAGTCATGCTGTAAATATGTCGGTACTAAGGTCACCGATCCAAAAACTCGAACAACGATCCTCATCCGCAAGGAGCGGGGATGAGGACGGTCTTCAAAATATGTTGATGGCACCGTACCAGGGGGTCGGTGGCCATGTAAAGATGTCGGCACTAGGGGCCGATCAGAGAGAAAAACAATCAGCAGTCCTCATCCGCGAGGAGCGGGGACGAGGCTGGCCTTCGGATATGATAATAGAACCGTACCAGGGGGTCGGTGGTCATGTAATGATGTCGGCACTGGGGGCCGATCAGAAAGAAATAATCAACGGTCCTCATCCGCGAGGAGCGGAGACGAGGTCGGTCTTCAAATATGGAGAACACGTCGTGCCGAGAGGTCGGTCGTTATATAGATACGTCGTCCATGAAGGGCTGATCAAGTGTATCCATGCAACCGCTCTCATCCGCGCAACGCGGGGATGATACTGGTCTTCAAAAAGAGATAGCCATGTCGCGTCGTGAGGTCGGTCGTGAAATAAGGACTGTCTCACGCCCCTCGGTCGTGATGGTCTCTTCTAGGCCCTCGGCCTCTGGGGTGGCAAATGCTCGTTTCACGGCCCTCAGTCGTGATGGTGGTGATGCTCGTCTCACGGCCTTTGGCCGTGGTGGTGGAGATGCTCGTCCCTCCTGGTAGAAGATGCTCGCTTCGCGGCCTTCGGTCGTGATGGTCTTCTCTCCGTGTGTCATGATACCTACACACTTGTAGTCTCTTCTTTTCTCGATCGGTCATGAACATCATCGATCGGTCATTGAACGGCTCCGAATGACAGTGATTACTCCTACACACTTGTAGTCTCTCTTTTTTTTTTGCCAATCATGATCATCTTTGCGCTTCATGTCGAACGTCATGAACATCTTTGTGCTTCATGATCTCCACGTTCGAGCATATCAAACGGCTCTAAATGAATGTGATTCTTTTCTCGTTTCCAGTCATGAACGTCTATGCACTTCATGTCGAATTGTCATGAACATCTCCGTGCTTCGTGATCTCTCCGTTCGGGAATATCAAACGACTTTCACTACACAATCAGCATGGTAATACGGCCGCACGGCCGAACAACATATACAAGTATATATATACAGACATGTATAACATTTCTTTTGTTTCATTCATGACTATCAGCCAGGAAGGTAATAACAACCCTCGGCCTAGGTTTATTTCTCGAACTGCCTAGGCACTCTCAGAACCACCTAATGGTTTCCCGGGCGCTTTCAGAAAAGTACGTACTTCGCCTCGTACTGGGTATAGTTGTCGTTCGGGCACTCAATGCCGAGTGGGACCATATATGGTCTTAACTTAAAGTGCGTCGTTGGGCAATGCCCTCAGATGCTTCTTTCAATTAATTTGGGCCGATCGGGGGTGGGCCGATCGGCCGCTCAAACCAAGCATTTAATTAAAATGTTGGTGGTCTTATTTATAAAACTTTGTTCGATATTATTCATCTTGGGAATTTTAATTCCTTAGTAAATAATTGTTTATTCAACTAATAGCAATTAATACTCTAACGCATTAGCACCCGACATACTGCAGGTGCCTCTATGTTTAAAATGCATCGTTGGAGTAATGCCCCTCGGGGGGCACTCCGGTCGCCCCATTACAGTTGATCGTGGGTTGGCCGGTCAGCTTGATAACCCAATCATGTAACTTAAAATGATGGCGAACTCATTACTAGAGCCCCAATTTTTTTATAACCTGTGATATTTTAATCCCTGCCAAACAAATAATGGCGATGTGTAACTAACAGTTATAATACTACAACGAGCCATTAATATTTTCATGAATGGCCCGCCCTTGTCGAGTGGGTCCACAGATGCTCCGACCGCTAATTAAGGCCGATCGGGGTAGGCTAAGACCCTACTAACATTAATTATTCACCTGGGTCTAGCCCGTCAGTCCGTCACGATTTAACTTGGGGTAATGTTACCCTTACCAAATAATGGTGAAGCAATCAATGGTAGCAGTAATATTATTTGAAATTAAAGATTCATGGTAGGATACTTAGCTCTTTAGATGTGTTGAACTCATTATCCGATGGCTAATCAAAGGCCCAAGGAGAATCCATTTGGAAAGAAAATAACCCAACCCGCTGCCCCAGTTAAGATGAAAGAGCTGATCGACCTAGCTCTCCATAAACCGTTCGAGCTTCTTCCGTTCTTCAAGGCTCAGCGAACGATTGGCGTTTAGCGGTATGGTGGAGTATCGAATCCTCACACAAGACCCACCCAGTTTCATCGCTAAATTGTTGCGATTCTGTTCGGGAATTGCCGTTCGGGATTTGTCTGGACTGGTTTTGAGACTAACGGTGTCACGTCAGAGCCCTTGGCGGCTTGGGCTGGTTTGGCGCACTGAATCGTCCGCACCTCGTGGTCGCTTATCGGTCGGTGGTATGGCCCAGCGGAAGTAGCAGAACGCGGTCAGAGATCCATGGCCTGGCTACTGTGTATTTCCGCCGACCAGTGGGGAGTGTTGAGACTGATCCAACTTGACACGTGCATGCAAGCCTAGGTGGACATGCAGACATGGAAATTTATTTATTAATGCTCTTTGATTAAGTTTATTTGTTCTTTATTAAATAGTCAAGGTTGTTAGCATGAAATTAGGGAATGATAAAGTCATGAGGCTAGAATGTGGCTTAACGTGCTGCATGGCTAGTTTTTAGGAGTTTGTTGCATTAGACGTGTGCTTCATTTTAATTTCTTTATTTCCTTTGTAATGGCTATATAAGAGCCAGAGTTATTCATAATTATATGTGAAGTTTTCCCAGATCTTGTTCATTGTTGTTTAGCTTGAAAGATAGCTAGTATATTTGTGTAGTTATACACGCTGAGAAGCCCACATTTGGTATCAGAGACAGTGAGGGAAGATCTAACCAGTGTGGTTGAGGGAAAACACGAGTGACACAACAAACAAAAAAACACAATTCCAATATGCAAGGTTCTGGCAATGGTGGGTCTGTGAACCAACTTCCTTTGTTCAAGGGAGTGAATTATCACTTTTGGAGTCTCAAGATGAAGACATTGTTCAAGTCTCAGGAGCTGTGGAGCATGGTTGAGGATGGGTTTGTTGATGATCAGCCCGAGGAGCCTGATCAAGCTCTTAGAGAAAAGAGGAAGAAGGATGCTAAAGCTCTTTTTCTCATACAACAAGCTCTTGATGATGCTGTGTTTCCTCGCATTGCTGCAGCATCCACCTCTAAGGAGGCCTGGAGTATTCTCAAACAAGAATACTTAGGAGACAAGAAAGTCATAATGGTTAGGTTACAGTCACTTAGAAGGGAGATGGAGAATGCACGCATGAAGGACAAAGAGTCAGTGCAGGACTATCTCTCCAGAATTACAAACATTGTTCAGCAAATGAAGTCCTATGGTGAGGACATCAAACCTCAGCAGGTTGTGAGCAAGGTGATGAGAAGCCTCACACCTAGATATGGGCAGCTTGTGTGTGCCATTGAGGAATCCAAAGATCTAGAGATCTATACATTTGAAGAATTGAAGGGCTCTCTTCAAGCCTATGAAGAAAGGGGCAATGGTGAAACTGAAAGAGGTGAAGAACAGGCTTTTCAAGCCAAGGAGGAGGCACCCAGAGAACAACCTTTCCCGTCTTCAAGCAGGGGTAGAGGGAGAGGTAGAGGAGGCTTTAGGGGTGCTCACCGAGGAAGGGGTAGAGGGAGAGGTCATCCCAGCAATGAGGGGAGGCAAGACTACTCCAAAGGCACTTCTAAGGCTCCAATCAAGTGTTACTATTGTAACAAACCCGGGCATAAAGAGGCATCATGCTGGAAAAAGGAAGAGGATAAGGAGCAGGGCAAGTCAGAACAAAAGTCAAATTATGCTGAGGAAGAACACCTCTTCCTTGCTCAACATAATTCTGATAATGTTTGCAGCTCAGTTTGGTATGTGGATAGTGGATGTTCAAATCACATGACTAGCTCCAAATCTCTGTTTAGGGACCTAGATGATACCAAGAAAGGTGTAGTGAGACTTGGTGATGGAAAACAATTGGCAGTAGAAGGTCTTGGTACCATTCTAGTTCCCACAGCCCAAGGAAAAACCAAACTCCTACAGAATGTTCAGTATGTTCCCCAGCTTGCCCATAACTTGCTAAGTGTTGGGCAACTTTTGTGTGGAGGTTACTCAGTGGTCTTTGAAAATGGTGTTTGCACTATCAAGGAGAGGCTGAGCAATGAGGCTGTGATGCAGATTCTCTATGTGAAGAAACAAGGTATGGATGAGTTTATTATAGTTTGCCTATATGTTGATGACATCATATATTTCAGTTCTTCACAAGCAATGCTGGATGGTTTTAAGAGTGCAATGACAAAGGAGTTCGAGATGACTGATTTGGGAAAGCTGCAATACTTTCTTGGACTTGAGATAAGACAGAATAGTAAAGGTATTTTCCTATGCCAGAAGAAGTATGCTATGGATCTGTTAAAAAGATTTCATATGGAGAAGTGCGAGGTTGCTAAAACACCAATGAATACCAATGAGAAATTGCAGAAATGTGATGGGACTGAAAGGGCAGATGAGAGGTTCTATAGAAGCATGGTAGGAGGTCTGAACTATCTCACACATTCTAGGCCTGATATAGCTCTCAGTGTCAGCATTGTATCCAGGTACATGCATAGCCCTACTAAACAACATCTTGGTGCAGCCAAAAGGATTCTGAAATACATTTCAGGTACACTTGAGTATGGGATTCAATATTCAAGTGTAAGAGAGTTCAAACTGAGAGGATATACAGACAGTGATTGGGCTGGGTGTGTGGATGATAGGAAGAGCACATCCGGGTCAGTGTTTGACCTTGGGTCAGGTGCTATTACATGGAGTTCAAAAAAGCAAGAAACTGTGGCATTGTCAACCTCAGAGGCAGAGTATGTGGCTGCAGGAGCTGCAGCAAAACAAGCCCTATGGCTGAAAAAACTTTTATCTGATCTGTGCTGCAAACAAGAGGAGAGTCCTGAGATTTGGTGTGATAGCAAATCAGCAATAGCAATGGCAAGAAACCCTGCATTTCACTCAAGGACTAAACACATAGATGTGCAACATCATTTCATAAGGCAATTGGTGACTGAAGAAAAGATAAAACTCCAATTTTGTGGTACAGATTGGCAGAATGCTGACTTATTCACCAAAGCCTTGAATCAAGCGAAGCACTACTACTTCATGGAAAGGATTGGGATGTGTAAGCTTGGATCAAGGGGAGGTGTTGAGACTGATCCAACTTGACACGTGCATGCAAGCCTAGGTGGACATGCAGACATGGAAATTTATTTATTAATGCTCTTTGATTAAGTTTATTTGTTCTTTATTAAATAGTCAAGGTTGTTAGCATGAAATTAGGGAATGATAAAGTCATGAGGCTAGAATGTGGCTTAACGTGCTGCATGGCTAGTTTTTAGGAGTTTGTTGCATTAGACGTGTGCTTCATTTTAATTTCTTTATTTCCTTTGTAATGGCTATATAAGAGCCAGAGTTATTCATAATTATATGTGAAGTTTTCCCAGATCTTGTTCATTGTTGTTTAGCTTGAAAGATAGCTAGTATATTTGTGTAGTTATACACGCTGAGAAGCCCACAGGGAGCCTGTTTAAACATAGGGGTCGATCGGAATTCACAGGGACCTGCTTTGAAATCGAGAGCCGTTCTGTCTAAATCTCGATCGGAGGCCAACAAGTGGTCTTGATCATAGGGATATGACCGAGCTCCCCTCGTTAGTTACCCCTCATTCCATGCTTCCATAGTCTCAAAATACTCCAGCTGCATGTCAAGCCAATTGGTCGGTGTAACAGGGAATTATATCTTGTATTCATAGTTTTCCCGTTCGGTCAAGGGCATAGCTGCACGAGCGTTCAGAGAATGCCACCCGAGAAAGTTAACTGTGGTCCTGCTATCCTTGAGTCCTTTTGTCCGGCTGTCGGGGTATCAGCTTGAGACCACTATACTGGCTGGGAATACCGTTTGGGTGATATAGCACCACCAGAGATTCCCATTCTATCATGAGGTCCTGCAAGAGGTGATGAGCCGGTGCCCTCTAGAATTTCCATCGAGGGCATTTTATTTGCTTGGGCGTTCGGAATTCTTTCAATCATTAGTAGCTCTGGGTAACAGTATCTAGGAAGACAAATGAGGGCAGCTTCAATGGCACAAAACCATCCAATGGTCCGAGATGGCCTGTCGTATCTCATGAGCATATCTCAGCTCTCTGGCTCGTACTATTATGCCGGTCGGGAATTACCGTTCGGTAGATAGCAATATAAGATGCATTGGAGAACAAGGGTTTCAGACTAAGTAGGAGCAAGACAGAGTAGATGGAGTGCAAGTTTGGTGGAGGTAGAAACAGTGGTAATAGCGGAATTACTTTAGATAGTAAGGAGATACCGGTCAGCGATATGTTCTGTTACTTGGGCTCCATAATTCAGAAGGACGGTGAATTAGATGGAGATGTATCACATAGAGTTAGAACAGGGTGGATGAAGTGGAAGAGTGCGTCAGGATTTCTATGCGATCGAGGTATGCCGACTAGACTGAAGGGTAAATTTTATAGGACAACAATTAGGCCTGCATTACTGTATGGCACGGAGTGTTGGGCGGTGAAACAATGTCACATTCAAAAGATGAGTGTGGCAGATATGCGCATGTTGCGTTGGATGTGTGGGAATCCTAGAAAGGACCGCGTGAGGAATGAGACAATCAGACAAAGGGTGGGAGTAGCACCTATTGAAGATAAGATGCGGGATTCGCGCCTACGGTGGGATTGTTGGTCATGTGCATAGAAGACCGAGTGATGCACATGTCAGACGCGTTGAGATGTGTGGAGAAGAGGCAGAGAAGAGAGGGAGAGGAAGGCCCAAGCAGACATGGGTTAGGGGAGTCAGAAGGGATATGTTTCTTCTTGGATTGGATGAGAGTATGGCTTTGGAGAGATCAAAATGGAGGACGGGTATTCGTGTGGAGGAGTGATTTTGTATCATCTTTTCCCCTCTTTTTCTTTCTCCTTTATATATACTAGTAACTCACCCGTGCGATGCACGGTGTAGGAATGCGCGGTTTGAGATATTTTCTTCAATAGTTATTAATATTTTTTTTATTATAAAGCGTTGTGAAGTGAGAAAATTGTAAAATATGGAGTAAAATGAGATAATCCCTATGTAAAACCTTGTATCACTTAATGACATTAATCATGATATCATCACTCCTCTCTAGGTAATCTAATAATTGAAACACAGTATCACCTTTTTAATCACAAAGTCAGAATGAGAAAATTGAGTTTCCAAAGTTACTTTTCCAATAAAAGCTACTTCATTTATAGATCCTCCTTCTCTGTATTATCCTAATCTACAAAATAACAATTACACCATATTGTATTGCTTAACCAAACGATTTTAAATTTCTTAATTATACGTACTTCTAAATTGTAGATACTATAGAATTGTGCCTCAAGAGTATAAAACCTTTGAGTACTACGTCTTAAAACCGGTGAGTATAAAATATACTCCATATATACTTTTAATTTTCTCCGGCCGTGCATCGCACAGTTTGTGAATTTGACTCTTTAATTAAATTTGATAAAAAATAAACTTGTCATTTTAGTTAAATCGTTACGAATTTATTTTTTACAATAATAAACTTTGACGTGAAATGAAACATATACAATATGATTCACCAATAATCACTCTTCACACAACCACATAAAGGCTTTGTTTGGATATCAGCGTGTGGAGCAAAAATGTTATGTTTCTTACCCTACAAACGCTGATAATTGCATATTTGGGCTGAAAACGCCGTTTAACAAACAGCCCTAAAGCAAACCATGACTAAAACAGGGGTTCTTAACAATAAACCAACACACGATAAGATCGTTTTTTCACTTTTATTTATAGTCATGACATGATAAGTCATGTTTGGGTGTTATTACATCTAAAATATATTGGAATGGCAAGCTAACATATGGAGGTGTTAAGAATGCTTGAGAATTAGGGGGTGTTTGAATCTGATTCTTAAAACTGCTTCTGTTCTTTCACGGAGTAGAAGCAGAAGCTGGAGTGTTTGGATAAAAGGGCAGAAGTGATTCATGTACTCAAATTTACTCCTAGAATCAGTTTTTTTTAGAAGCTGGGGTGACCAGCTTTTGAAAACTGATTTTGATTCTGCTTTTGAATTAATAAAGAAGCAGAAGCAAAATCAGTTCCAAACATCCCTTAAAACCTTTTTTCTCGCACTAATCCCTGTTAAAATCCTTTATTCTAGAAAATTTAGCAAAGAATTTTTTCATATTATAAAATTATTTATAATGATTAAGTAATAGAGTGACTTTACATCTATACGAATTCCTTTTGTAAACTGGCAAATCAGGAGATGTGTAAATATGTGAAAATATGTTATGTCATTCATAAATTATGCTCAAGTATAAATTTAGGCGAAAATGTTCAAATAGGTCATCTACTAATGCAGAGGTCAAATTTAGGTATTTATGCATATAATGTTTTAGAAATAATTACATAATTTTGATTAAAATAAAGTTTGCTTATGAAAATGTGACCTCTTAAGTATAGTGACTACGACATGTCTTCAGTCATATTGTTTTTGTTCAATTTTCACATCAAGTGACAATAACATTACATCCATAGTAATTTTAGTCTTCTATTTGTAAATTTGATAATAACATTGTCTTCAGCCATATTTGTAATTCGGTAAATTCTGTCAATGCAATCAGTTTAATTAGATTATGTCAAATTTAACATTGATAGAGCCCCTTCAATAAATTCTAATCTATTACGTAGTACTACCTCCGTCCCAAAAAGAGTTGCAAATTTGACTTTTCTTAGTCAAATAGTCTCGTTTTGTTCACTTAATTAGGATGTCAATTTTTTATTATATTCTAATTTGGACTTTACAACTTTGAAGAGATTTTAATGTAGTTTTTGAATATGTAAATTTTAATTATTAAAAATTGAATTAAGTATCCATAGAGAGGGTTGACTTTTATTATTGGTTGACCGAAAAATGTTGACTTTGCAAAACAAATTGGGACGGAGGGAGTATAATCTAAGTAACACCTTAGAGAGTATTTTTCTTAAACAAATGTATTTTTCCCTTCGTCCCCCTAACTTTGTTCACTTTTACCTTTTTCGTTCGTCCCATTAAGTTTGTCTCATATCATATTTGGTAATATTTGGGTGGTTACAATTCATTCTTACTTTATTCACACTTTATCAATTCAATATCAACCACACAATTCTACTTTTTCTTAAAAACCGCATCACATCCTTTGTCCCAAACTTGGGGGACGGAGGTAGTACTACGAATAAGTAACACATTGGTGAGTAGATAGCAACCATACATCCGCTCCTTCCATTTAAATGGGCCTGGAATGAGTAGCCCGCTACCTATGAGTCCTTTCTAGAAGGCTAGAAGGAAAAACCTCCCTTTTTCCCAGCAAGGGTTCAACCCAATCGTCCATCCTAGGCAGCCCCTCTCGCCTCTCCAACCGACCACGCATACCTTCCACCCCCAAACCCTTTTCATGCCTTCATTTCCCCCCAGAAAAAGCCAATCGGCTGGCCTCTCTCCAACCAAGGACACCAACATACAACCCAAAGACGTCTATCGAGTACCGACAATTCAGTCGGCCTGTCAAATTTCAGTCACGGAGCCCTCTCTTCACAGATTCTCCGGAAACATTTTACTATTTCAGCCGCCAGTCATGAATCCGAGCTCTTGAAAGACTCATTTGCCTCAATGCCTCATTCTCCTCCTCCTCCCTGCTCTAAGTTTTAGAGAAGAGCGAGTCGGGGCCAGGGCCTTTCCTTCTCCGGTGAGTAAAGGGTATTTATGGCTATGTATCCATGTGTGACCCATAAATTTGCTTGTATATGAGTGTATGTTAATGGTGTGTTTCAGTCGCATGTTCTCAATCTGCCTTCTAAACTCTTGTACCAATTTTATTTGAATGAATTTTCTCCAACTCTTCTGCCAAGGTTTAAAAGGCATATTTCAGCCAAAAGAGGTTAAACTGCTATTTAAGCATCTATTTAAGCCTCCAATAGCATCCAATTGCATCTATTAATTAAACTGCTATACACAATGAACTAATATTGAATGCGGGATGGATCTGAGCCCAGTACATATTAAAGCAATGAGTTTGTGATATTCCATCAAAATATGAAATATAATATACAGAAAATAAGAAAAACTTCATTAAAACAACGCGTTTTTTATGTGGAATGTGAGATGGATCTTTGAGCCCTGCAAATATTAAAACAATGAGTTATTGATATTCCATCAAAATATGAAAAGCGGATCTTAAATGATGATTTTAAATTTGTGGAAGCTCTTCATAGAGAAATATGTAGTATAGTGTACATAAAATAAGAAAAATATCATTAATAGCCTCAGAAGTAAGCTTACCAATTGCCTCTTCCTCTCCCCCATAATGTTCTTCTAATGCCCTTTTCAGGTCTTCTTTGGTGACCCGTTTCATTATCAAATTTGTACCTAACAGATAATCAAATGATGACAATGAACTACAGGTTTTTGGTGAATAGAAACTTCACAAACAGAACAGAGAGTTTACAGTGATGAGCAGTTCATTAAAATAAGCATAATATACCTTAATAGCTCTGGCTTTCATTGTCCAAATAGTCTTCTTATGGTTGATAGCCTCATTTGCTGGATGAGTTTAAGGTGTGAGTGAGGAATGCATATGCAAGAGCTTGCTTTTATAGACAGAATTTGTATGACCATCCATTTAGCTTGGGCTATGTAAATATTTGTTTATTTATTTTTTCGTAGCTGGGGCATTAAAATATGGATTTTCCTCTTGTCTCGCTGACATAAGATATTCTAAATCTAGATTACTGTTCCCACCTCTTCATCCACCAATTAGAATTGAATCCATATAAGAGTCACCCAAACTCTTATCCAAAATCAGCTTCAATTATTTTGACCAAATAAACACGCCTAATTTTTTTCAACAAAAAATCATCCAAATATCCATGATAGCGACACATCATCCTATCACAGTACCCACCTCTTCAAGCCACCAATTGAAATTGCAATAACGAAACAGTGTTCCTGAAATTCTGCCCACCCATAACATTATTAGACATTCACACCCACGTATAACTATTTATTTTCAATATTGTTTATAGTTATTTGCAACTTAGGAAGCTGACCCACCTGACAGTGATGTTTTTGAGCGGCAACTTTCATTCCAAGAAATCTTTTCCTTTTATATATTAGTAGATATATATATATATATATATATATATATATATATATATATAGTACTCTTCCGGTCAGGTATACCTAACCGGAGCCCCGTCCGGCCTCCTCCATTTGGAGGCCTTCCCGGTGGTATTTTTTGCTCAAATTTTTTGTGTAGGTTCCTCATCAAGTCTAGTTCATCCATACCAAATCTCAGCCAAAAATTCAATCGGGAAGGTCGTCAAATGATTTTTTCAAGTTAACTGGTCCGGAATATGTATTTTCCGGACCAGTTAACTTGCAAAAATCATTTGACAACCTTCCCGATTGCATTTTTGGCTGAAATTTGGTATGGATGAACTAGACTTGATGAAGAACCTACACAAAACATTTGAGAAAAAAATATCACCGGGAAGGCCCCCAAATGGAGGAGGCTGGACGGGGGGAGTGGTCCGGCCTGGCCGGACCTGAATAGTTGTGTGTGTGTGTGTGTGTGTGTGTGTGTGTATCCTTATATATAAATATTAAGTTACTCTTTGTATTTTATCTTTTATATGTATATTCATCTCTTTTATATTATCTTTTTTATAATAGCTTATCTTTTTATCTTTATTTTCTTTCTTTTCCTTTTGGTGATATCATGGTTTGAAATAGCGGTCCGCTACTGCTATAGCGGCCGCTATATAGCGGTCGCGGTAGGGGCCGCTACTGCTATAGCGGCCGCTATATAGCGGTC